CTGGCTATGAAAAATGCTGCAAAAAATATAAGAAAAATATGATAATTCTTGTAAAAATGAGTAGGTTCAGAATCCTGAGTTTGAGATTAAAACTCTAAGCGTAGATATTTTTGCTAATACAGCATAGTTTGAGTTAATGAGGCTATATATAGGACTCTTGCATCAAACCCTAGGCCATGTGTGATGTGCCTACGTGAGTTTTTTGATTTCTCTCCAGCCTTGTGCCTCCCATTGCCACCTTCACCTCCCTTCCCTCTTGTGAGCCAAAGGTGTCACATTTCTCCTTGTTCTTGTCACTTAAACACTTGAGTGTGTGTGGGGTAACCTTGGTGGTGAGTTGTGAGGCATTTCTGAGGATATGATTGTTGTTGGTTGGGAGTGTTAGAGGCTGTTTAATCTGAGTTTGTGGGAGTGGGGGCTTGTTCTTGGCTTCTTGAGCTTCAAGAAGCTACCTTTTGGCATAAAGGGTCAAGCTTGAAGTGTATTTTCGTTTCTTGAAGAAGTCAGTACCTTGGAGCTGTGTTGGAGGCTCCAAGTCAGTGCCATTTTCTGAGTTTAAACCTCTTGGAGGTATTCATGATCATCCGTTGTGCATTTTGAGGTTTTAAGCTTACTTAATCGGTTAATAAGTGAAACTTTAACCATTTGAGTAAAGGAATGTGTTTTTGGGTTCATAACATGTTGGTGGTTATCTGTTTAGGGAGTCATTGGACTACCAATCGCTTTTGGATCCTTAAATTTGGCATTGTGCAGAAGTTAGCTCGAATTTCTGCATTCTGTTGGAGAAGTATTCGAATATTTTTCGTGTAGTATTCGAATACTTGTCCTTGGTAATCGAATACTCCTTGCAGGAGTATTGGAATACTTTTCTAGGAAGAAAACTATTCGGATAACTTTGAAGAAGTATTCGAATACTGGAAGGTATTCGAATACAGTGAGGTTTGGTATTCAGATACTGAGGTATTCGGATACTGGGGGAAAAAGTATTCGGATAATTGTTAGTATTCGAATACTTTAGTGAAAGTAATCGAATACTTTCTGGAGAGCTGAAGTATTCGAATACTACTCGTGGAGTATTCGAATACTTTCTGCAGAAACAATATGTAATGAGTTAAAATGAGTAAGAAAGACTTAATCACTTAATGTAATCTGAGCTATGATTATTGATGAGTAATTATGGTATGGGCAGATTGTAATTGTGCTGTTTGTGGGTTTTGAGCTGTGTGGACTCTTGGTTTGGATAGCTAGCTTACAAGGTAAGCTTTCGTGTCCTCGGTTTAGCCATGTTGTGGTTCCACCATGTCCCATGGGGATCTGTTTATATGCATGCTGTGTTACATGCTTTGGATATTTTGAAATGTTGTTGAGCTTTATCTGTAATGGCTTTTAATATGCATGTGTTGTCCCATCTTGACGGTAAGCCTGAGTATGTAGCGTCATACAAGACGGTGATCCGGGGTGGATGCAAGTGGCGTCTTGCACTATGTGTGGGTATTTGACGTATATAAATCTTGCATTTCTCTGGCCAGTAGAATAGAATTGACACACATGACATGATTATCTGCTGCATTGCACTATTTTAGAACTGATGATGATAAACTACTTTTGAACTTATATTGCACATGTAAGTGAGCTTGGGGTGGAAGATCCTTGAGGACCCCTTGCCTTACTGAGATTTCTTGTTTAGAGATCTCACCCCACGTTTGGGGAATGCTTATTTCAGGTTCAGGTAGTATGGGGACTGATGTCTTTGTCGGCAGGAGGCCAGAGCTTAGTTGATGATTATTGCTGTTAGTTATGTTGACCTGTGTGAATGTTGGATTTGGATGCTGTTTATGTTTTCTGCACTTATATGCTTATGTTGCTGTTGTTGAGACTGATGTTGGGCTTTGTTGCCTTATTTGGGTGAGCATGGGATTTGTCCATGCCACTTTGTGGTTAGTACTTTTAGTTGGAGTTGTATAAACTGTTAGATGGTCCGATCTACGTTTTATAGTTCCGTGACTAGAGACTCATACTTATGTTATTTAATTAATGAGGCATTTCAGTTAGTTGTTTATTGCAATATACATACAGGCGATGTTTTGAAAATGGTTAAGTAATCAAGTTGGTAATGGTTAATGACATCATAATTGAAAAGAAAAAGATATTCCACAATTTTAATTAAGCGCAGCTTAATACGATAACATGATAACATTACCGGATATATACGGGATGTTACAATTAGGGGGGACGAACCTTGATTTATAACCAAAAGTGAGTGTATGACACAAGTTGGGACCCCTTGTTGATAGGGTAGCGCGCTAAAACACTCTTAAGGTAAAAAATGCTCGGGTTAAGCATGCTAAAGCGCACTAAAACAGGGAGGAATACCTAATGCACACACTAAAGTGAACTATAGGGAACTAAAGCGCGCTAGGGTCTAGACTACTCTTACAACAATCAAGTGTTGTTCGGTGCGCTGGAGTTAACATAGTAAAACAAGCATATCTTGAACTAGAGAGGTCCAAATAAAGTGAGACTTAAATATATGTAAAGCTAACTCAAAGAAATTTAATTCTGAAAAGGTATAAAGATTTATTAATAAGAGGATTAATACAAGATTTGTTGTATAGTTGTTGGTCTATTCTCGGGAGTCCGATTTGAAGCAGTTGGCTTATAACATGCATAACATGAGATATACAAATCCAATTTATGCAGATTATATATCTTTAAAAAGCTTAAAGAATCTAGTTTAATATATTAAAAATGTGGAAAATTTAGAGTGCCCAATATTTGCCAATAATTTTGTGGAGATGGCTAACTCGCCTGCAGAGGCCAATTTAGAATCATTGCCTTATGAGTTGCATAAGTCTTGTTATACTACCTGAATGGCTCCCCAATAATGCTTCATCCTTTGTACATTTACTTTCATTGTGCTCTCATCCTTGTTATACTACTCTTTTTTTGGGAGACTGGAACTGCTCCTAGGTACATAAAACTCTTATGGCAGCAAAACTTAGGATATGTCAAACGATTTCCAAGCGAACACGTCGTGATTTTGCTTCAAGAAAGCCACACTGACTCCAAATTCTTCTCAATCTATGTGAACTGTTTCGCCTTGTGACCAAGAATCAATTTCTCCAGTTCGCCCTGGGCTGGCTCCCATTGTACTTGGGCATGTCCGACTTCGTCCAACTCGGCGTTTCACCTTCACGCTTATTTATTTACTAAAGTTAAAAATTATTGTATTTAACAATATTTATATAAAAGCGGGAACATAAAGTGGCAACGTTTTGCATCCGAAACATCACGAATGGGGCTGGAATGCAATCCCATGAAATACCCTCAAACTTAACTATTGTTTCTCCTCTAACAACCAAATTACAGCAATCAATTCATTCCTACAGAATCAGTACAACAATCACACTTTAGTAATCAATGAACAAGTTTCACATGGTAACAGACTCTTGCCATAGTTATTCACTACTAATTAGATGCGCAACTAAAAGACAATTTTGATTTTTTTTTTTTTGTGTACATCGATTAAGGCGATCAGCAGTTTAATCAATATCTTGTCATCTTGCATTTATTTGTAAACTCACTCTGATTTACTTGGCAGAAACGGAATTGAATGGACTGATTGATAAATTTGATCTCCTTTTTCTTTTCTCGGAATGTGGTGTTAATTTTATTTTTATTTTTTTAATTGTGGTGTTAATTTTAAAATATGTATCATGTTGTTTGTAAAAGTATTAGTGTATATGCATATTTTTGTGTCTTTTTTTCTCTTGAAAATAAAAAATAAAAATAAAGATTTTTTTAAAAGAATAAAGGCCATACTGTTTTTATAATAAAGAACGTAGGTGCATGGGATAAACATGTTAAAAAGTGTTATTCCCAACTAGGATGCCTATCCTCCTCTCGTGTGGCTGGCCCTATTGAGGTGCTACATTTTCAATAAAAAAAAAAAAAATTGAGTTGTTACTTTGCAATTTTTTGAATGGGTGATTGAAATATTCTTACAAGTATTCAAAACATACGATTAAACGATTGTTGGGATGGGAATATTCCACTCCCAAAAATAAAATCATTTTTAATTGGGAAAACATATTCCAACCAACTAAATTTTTTCTCATGGAGAATATTTTTTTCGTTACCTATTTAATACATATTATATTATATTCACTAAAACTAAAAATACACTCACTAAGTGCCTTTATAAAGAATTTGCCCAGAAAATAGTGATAAATACACCTAAGCAAGTGTGTTTTAATTTTAAATGGGTATAGTATATTATACAATAGTATTGAATATTCTGCTCCCTGTGGCACCTTCAACATACGAATAATAAGAGACTAAAATGAAGGTAAACTCACAAGAATATCAACAATAGGTACTAAAATCTATGGCTCCCATTTCTCAATCTCAATCAGGCACTCATTTAAAGTTTGGATTTTGCTTGTTCAGTATTGGTTACATAGTTGGTTGTAATAACATTAACGAGTTTAACTTGCTGGATAAAGTAAAAAAAAAAACTCACAACACTCTTCAAAAGGCCCTTCAATAATGAACTTTCGACCATAATGGAGAAACTTTTTATCAGTTCATTCAAAATTTAAATATTTTATCAAAATAATACAAATATTTGTATATCGAATGTGCACGAATAAGTCGTGTATGAGAAAGACACATAATATGTGAAAAAATTACTTACAGGCACACATTTATCTTTGCACAAATGGCGCAACTCCCTCATACGCTACCTTAATGTCCACACTCCTTTCGTGTCTTGCTACATTATTTTGGTAGAATGTTTTCATTTTGAATCAATGTAACAAAACATTCCCATTTTCACCTGTCGAAAGGCCAATAATAATTGCCTCTCATTCCAACCATGCACACAATTTTAAGAATTACACAAGAATCAGATCAATCACCACACATCAACTGGAACATGATATAAAACATAAACCACAAAAGAAATAATAGTTGTAAGCATCAGTTTCATTATTAAAGCATAAAATTTTCACCATCCGGATTTGGTTTCCAAAATTCGCTGGTTGGGCCAGCCTTAGTTTTTAGTCAGGACATTCAACAAACATGTCGCATACGACAACCTCAAAGACCTGAACAAGAAATCAATAATAAAATGCAAATCAATCTTTATCCTCTGAAATAGTAGGGTCAGATGTTAATGTATCCACAAGAGGGGAATCAGTGTTAGCGGCATCATGTTGTTGTTGTTGCTGTTGTTCAGCGTTCATGACGGCTTGCAGGTCCCTTATTCTGGTTCTCATCACATTAGCAACGAGTACTGTCATAGGAAAAATTGGGTCATATAAAATATAATTTATGGGTATAAGATTAATGGAATAAAAAATAATTAAGGGATAAAAGATAGAAAGGGTACTAGCAGCTGTTCCAAAGGTCCAAATCCATAGGATCTTCACGCCAGGGCTCTTCTCTTTCCGCATGATGTAGTTGAGCTATGCACAAAGAATCAAATTTTAAAAAGAAAAGGGGGAAAGATCCTCTGTCCTTGGTTGGGGTGGGTATGATCGCAATGACAGTGATGTGAGAAGTGAATTTTTTGAACATAGCCCTCATGGTTACCTACAACAATTCAATAAAATATATATGTAAATAAATATGTATGATTAATGTATTTTCATTATCCGAAAAAATGTTCTTTCATAATCGGAAAATATTCCGAAAAATACATAATTATATTATTATAATATAAAGTTATACTTTTTTTTCTTTCTTAAAAAACTATTGATTGACATGAAAAATAAAAAACAAATACAATTTTAATATTATAACTGTATAGTTTCGAAATATATAATTATAATAGATAAAAGGACATAACTTAAGTTAGAAACAAAAGATATCGCGTGTTTTTGAATGTGTTTTGTATTTTTTTTGTTTTTAAAAACTGTTTTGAGGATAAATTTTAAAAACTGATTTTGAGAGTAAAAAAATAATAAAACTTGTTTGAATATAGTTAGTTTTAAAGTTAGAAAAAAGTTGTAGTTATTAACAAAAATGCCATTAATGAATCCTCATATTTACAAGAATGCCACGCAAAGTAATTTAAAATTAAAATGAAAATCAATTTAATTACACAAATACCATTAATGAATTCTTGTATTTACAAAAATGTCAATGTGAAAACAAGAAAACAAGAAAACAGCTTTCGAAAACACCCCTCAATTGTTTTGGTTTTTTGGTTTTTAAAACAAAAACACGAAGGCTGTTTTGAAAACAGATAACACGAAAACATCTCTTCCAAACAACTTTTTTTGTTTTATTGTTTTTAAAATTCAAAAACTGTTTAGGAGAACAGAAATCAATCAGGCCCATCATCTTCCTCTATTTAGGTTGGCCCAAATTTTTAGATCACAAAATGAAATTCTCAATTATTACCATTCAAGTTTGAGGGAGTGGCGTTGAAAGAACCTTTGGAGTTTACAAAGCAAGATAGAGGATCTTACAAAACATAACAAACTTTGACCTTGAAACTCAATTTGTCATCATTTGGTCAGCCTTTGCTCTTCCATAATTATATACGACGAAAGAATTCTTATGACATAGATATGCTTAAAATACTTGAGAATGTCAACGAGATCGAAGCCAATGATAATGATACAGGAGAAGATGAATTGGAAAGCCAAGTGCATAAATCATAATCAACTACATTAATAGAAGAAATAAGAGATAACATTAGGAATGAACTGTCCCGTGAATGCATCGTTAGCTTTTGAAATATTTGCACGTTTGCAATATTTTATAATGGTTTTGAGTTAATACTAATTTTCATTCCAAGTCACATGACAATTTTTTTTTTCTTTTAATTATTACCAATGCTGAAATAAAAAGTAGTTCGACAAAGGCAAATCCTATGGACAGTCTGACAGTCTCCAAAACTTTCATTAAAATCGTTGGTCTGCAAGCCATGTACCTTGAAACTCTGGTAAAGTTTACTGAGCATAAGCATAGAAGTGGCCCAGGTTTCCTAATTTACCGATAACTAGAATTGATTAGTTTATGAGACTTTGGGAACAAATAATTTACTGATTTGATATATTTAATAAACGGAGAGGGAATCATAATGCTCATATAATGACGTCTGCGAATCGTAATTTCATTCTTAACATTTTATATGTTTTTTTTATGGAATGAAACAAAGGGCAATACTTTCTAGTTATTTTAAACAAATTTTAGTCATTATATTTGTATATAATAATTAAATAAAAATTTGTAAAAAATTTCTCTAATTCAATAATGTGAATGTTTAAATAAATAAAAAATTATAATGGCAATTTGAATGTGATATATTAAAATTGAGAAATATTATACTTACAACCTATTTTCGTTTACAACCTCTTACAATCATATATTAACCGTTAATTTTCGTCAATCAACAGTTATCATTTATTGTGAATTAATAATTAATTAATGAGTTTAATTTACGAAAATAATTTATTGACAGAAATCAGCGATTCAAATATAGTTATAAGAGGTTATAAACGAAAATAGATGGTAAGTATAACCTTCTTTACTAAAATAATCCTTTTTATCCAAACATTATGTTAAAAAAGAACTTTTACGTGTCTTTTTTAGTAATTTTGTATATAAAAAGTTTTTTTTAACATTCAAATGATTTTTTATAATTCAGATTATACATCCAAATATAAAATAATTTTATCTTTTTAAAAAAATACTTTTTTAAAAAAATAATGCATAATTTTTTAAAAAAAAAAACCTCTCCAAATGGTACTTAATATTTTCAATCCGCTCACCAGCTCAATTTGATGAGTTAGAGACGATGATGGGGTGAGTTGACCCATTTTACCAACTCTTAACCCTGGCCTTTCCTTAAAAAATGATTCCTTTGATAGCAAATGTTATTTATTCTGCCATTTCAGTTTTCTTAAATCAAATAGAAAAGTTGTCCTTTTTGACTTGATATTCAACTATATCCTTTAAGCCAACACATTCGTCCATATACTTGGTGATAAATGATAATAACAATGTTTGTTTTTATCAAATGTTAGACACCCTGTTATTAAACTCGATCTGGGCATCGATCCGGTCTGGATACTGGATTATTGGTCGAACTGGGTCACTGATCAGACCGGTTGATCTGGATATCTATAAATATATATAATTAGAATTAGAATCATCGTATAGTATAAGCTTATACAGCAGGATCCCTTTATACATCAAAATGATGTATAACTTTTTTTTTTTGTAATACAAATGATTTATAACTTAATCAGGCCTAGGAGTGGTGGATTAGGCCTGATAAGGGGTTGATGTATTAATATTGCTTACAAGTACAATTCTCATGAACTAATATATCATTTCAATATTTATATATTAAAATAATTTTTTTAATATATTAATTTTTAAAATATTAGAGGATATTATCTTATACAATATCATACTAAACGTTGGATAGTATTAAAATTTAATCAAGTTTTATACAATCAGGTCTTATACTATTAGGTCTTATACTATCAGACCTTATCTTATATTATGCATTAAACATGCCCCAAGTGTCGTCAGACTTGGCCCGACCCGGGACCCGGTGACCCGGTGGGGGAACCAGTTTGGGTTGCACTTTGGACTGGCCACACAATCAGCCCAGTACGACCCGAATGACCCGGCCAGGTTTGGACGGAACCTGTAAGAACCTGCACCGTTAATTTAGGAATTTAATTAATTAATTATGAGATTAATGAGTTAATTCCATAATTAACCCTATTAATTATGATAAGGCTTAAATAATTATGGTAAGTGATTAAGAATGTTGAAAGTTATTTTTCTGATAAAAGTGCAGACACTGGTTCTGCCTCACGGTATAAATGCGTACGATGAAGTATCCCGGAAAATTATGAAAAGTATGTATATGTCACTAGAATAATATATAGGACTAGTAAAACAAGTTTCAAGTCGAAATAATGAGAACTGGTGCCAGATCTGATACTGGCTATGTAAAAGCGCGTATCGGAAAAGTACTGCAAAAAATAAAATAAAAATATGAAAAATCTTAGAAAAATGAGTAGGTTCAGAATCCTAAGTTTGGGATTAAAATGCTAAGCATAGCTATTAGCGTTAATATAGTGTGATTAAAAATTAATGAGGCTATATATAGGAGTGGCACATGATCCTAGGTCAGATATTTGCACCTCTACGTAGCAATTGCTGGAGCCTTTGAGCAGCCACCTTGTCATCTCCTTCCTCATCCAAAAAGAAGCCCAAGTGACCATCTTTCCTTACATTCTCTCCATCAAAACACCTTGTGTGTGTGTGTGTGAACAATCATTGTGAGTGGGAAAGTTGCATCTTTTCTGGTTGTGGTTGCTGTCTTGTGAGAGTGAGGGAGCTGACTTCTTGTTTAAGAGGAGAGGGAACCATTTCCTTGGTTGTGGGAGCTCCAAGTGGTGAGCTTTGTGAAGAAAGAGCCAACCTTGTTGCCATTTTCGTGGTTGAGGGAAGTCAGACTTGAGGAGCTGTTGTGAGAGCTCCTAGAGCACCCTTGTTGCTCTGTTTTAAGCTTTGGGTATGTTCTTGAACCTTGATCATGAATTTTAGTTGTTTAAAGGTTGAGTCTTGGCATGTTAATAGGTTAAATAGGTAACCAACCTGAACATGAACCTAAAAGTGAATAAAAATGCATGCTTGGATGTTTTAATGGGTTAAAAACCGAACCTTTGGAGTGATATCTCGAAAAATGCAAAAACTGCTTTCTGTCGCGAAATATCCGGATATGATATCCGGATATGGGGTCTTGTGATATCCGCATATGGATATCCGGATAAGATATCCAGATATGGCCCCGACATATATCCGGATATTCTAGGAATTTTGAGACAATGACGGTTCTGTGCATACAAAATTGTATTTTTGGGTTGGTGGACCCATGCTTGGTTAAGTAAACTTTTGTAATAATTAATCTAAGTCAGAATCATAGGGATTAAGGGCTTATGACTTTGTGAGAAGCCTAAAGACATGAAACGTAAAAGGAAGGTGTTGTCTTGATGTCGTATACTTGTAGAGTATGAATATTGATATGACTATTGGTCCAAACAGATTGTGATTGTGCTGTGTGTGGACTGTGAGCTGGTGTGGACCTTGGATATTGGATTGATTGCTTAGAGGTAAGATTTTGTGTCCTTGGTTTAGCCATTGTTGGTTCCACCATATCCGATGGGGGAATGATTTTATGCATAATGTGTTTTCATGTTTTGATGATTGAAATGATTATGAGCTGTTAAGTGCAAGGGCCTTATAATATGCATGTGTTGTTCCATCTAGACGGTAAGCCTGAGTATGTGGCATCATATAATATGGTGATTCTGTGGGTGGGTGCAAGTGGCATCTTGCACTAAATGTGGGTAATAGACGTATATAAATCCTGCATTTCTCCAGCCAGTAGAATAGTTGACACACATGACATGATTATCTGTTGCATTGCACTGATTTTGGAACTTATATTGTTTAACTGATTT